GCAATTAAAATATAATTAAAATATTAAAATTTAATTGAAATATTAAAATACCCTGCAGGAGGAGCTTACAATGCTTCCCTAAATCTGCTAATTGTGGGGGTTGATTGTCCACGCCTCTCATCACCCCCTCCCATCTTTTATAGCTTTTTGGCTCCTTGAATAGCCCTGTTTTAGGCCAAACATTTATTCACTTACAGTTTAATTTTAATTTTGCAATATTAGAAACCAAATAATATAAGATAATTTGCAATATTAAAAACAATTTAATATTTTGTTTTATTTTTAGGTTATAGAAGTGCTTGTGGATTTAGAAATTACAAAAGGAAATGAATTCAAAGAACTTGCATTTGATATTTTGAAAAATAAAATTGTATGTAAAATATGCTTTTTAATAATTTCAAAGAAAGTAATAAATAAATAACCAATGCAAACAATAATATAAAACAATAATCAAACATTGGCTGACACAGAGAAAAACAAAAAATGGTTTGACATGATATTGTTGAGGCAAGACAAGTGAATGAGAGATAAAAAACTGAACTAATAATAAGCTTTAGAGCAAATTAAAAAAAAAAAACTTTTTGTGAATTTCTTATTAAGTTTTTGTAATTTTGAAAAGGTAACTTAGAATTTTTTTTATATAATTATTTCTTATTTGCTGAATAGTTTACTAAAAAATCATAAAATGAGAAATTAAAGAAGTCACTGTCTCAGCTATCAATTAATACTACCAAATGTGAAAGGATGTGCTAAACTTATTTAGTATCATTATTCTTGTTAAAACTGTTTTTTGTGTTAAGTGTAAAACAGGGCTGTCAGATTATAGTGTTTTAGTAGCAGAATAATGGATAGATGTTGAGAGATAAGAAGAGTAAATTAGTGAGCTATGGTGTTGAAATTAGTTGGAATTAAATTACTTTTTACTGAATGCATTTTCAATAGAAAGGGATGAGAAAGGCATTTATTTTGTTAAGAAGGTTTTAAAAATAAAGTAAAAAATTAAAAATTGTTAAAATATATTTAAATATTTTGGTGGTTTTGAGGAAGATGAGGGAGGATGGATGAAAAGAAACTAATTTTGGTGTCCTTATATGCAATCATATTTTTTTATGCAAATTATTTCACAATAGAAAAGGTAACCTATGATGTCAATTATATAACTACTAGCATTATTTTTTCAGATTTTAAAGCAAACTATAAGCCTATATGTTATAACCAAGTTACTTATTAGTTTTGCAAATTTATTTATGTTTTATTATTTTTATTATAATATTTAGAAAAATGCAGAAAATAGTCTTTTGTTAGAAGCTTATTGTCAATTGGATATTTTATCATACAAAGAGCTGATTCAGAAACCTTTTACAGAATCATTTTACTCTGCTATTGAAGAAATATCACAGGTAAAAAGTTTTTTATTTAAATACGAGAATAAAAAAAGATAAATTTAGTCAATTTGCAATGCTAGATCAAGTCAGATTGGTCTATTTAGATGTTCAACTCTAGGAGCCTGTAAAAAACTTTTTTTTACAGTAAAAAAAAATGAAATATTTTTCTGTAAAATACTTGTCTTTCTTTCTAAAGAACATCCTTTAAAATACTATTGTTATTTAAGTTAAACAGGCAGTACTTTTAATAGCACCATTTGTTAATGTTGTCTTAAAATATAACATTTATTTTATAGTTTATTATAATTATTTTATTAAGTATTGATGGTGGAATATCTTATATTTTAAATTACGAAATGAAAGAATTGCCACTGAAGTTCAATTGATTCAAAGTTTAAAAAATAATTGGTTATTCTCTTACTTAGATATTTTTCATTAAAATTTATGAAAGTTATTCAATTGAAAACAGTTTTTTTCTCAAAGAGTTGGAGCAAATTTTAAATACGATTTTTTTATTGTGTAAATAATAAAAACATTTTAAAAAAGCGTCAAAGCTTGTAGGCTAATTCAATTTAACTTACATTACGCAGATTCAAAATTTTTATGAGCTTTGACTAAGCATCTTTATTTAAAATTTAAATAAAAAGTATAGGATTTAATATCAACAAACATATTAAAAAAATTTGAGTTTTTTGAAAAAGCTTTTAGATTAACATAACTTTATTGTGTATTTTAACTTAAGTTACATGAAAATTACAAAAAGTATTTTTGTTAATTTCTTAGAACATTCATTATAAAAAAACTAAAATATGTAATCAACAATGAAATAATATCTTCTGCTCTAAAACACACTATACATGCATGCATACATACATATATACATACATACATACATACATACATACATACATACATACATACATAAATACATACATAGAAGAGAAAAACCTACTCCCACCCACTAAATGTGTTCTATCTAATACAAAAACACTAGGTTTAAATTTTTTTGAATAAAAAATATTTTAAGGGGTCCCTCAAGACCCTCGAATATTTAATGGATCCCTAAGATTTTCAAAAAAAAAAGGTTTTTCAAAAATATGTTAACCTAGTACTCCAATGAAGCAAAATTATATAAAAATTTTAAAAATAGTATTCATTTTGAAAAAAAATTGTTATTTTTGGTTTTATTACTTAAAAAATTATGTTTTTTAACAAAAAATTTAAAAAAATGCATTTTTTATGATTTTTTTATGTAAATTTTTATATAATTTCGCATCATTTGAGTACCGGGTTGACATATTTTTGAAAAACTTTTTTTTGAAAATATTAGGGACCCATTAAATATTCGAGAGTCTTGAGGGACCCCTTAAAATATTTTTTATTCAAAAAAATTTTAAACCTAGTGTTTTTGTATTAGATAGAACACATTTAGGGGGGTGGGAGCAGGTTTTTCTCAAAAAAGGTGTTTTAAGGGCCACCCTAATATATATATATATTATTTATATATATATATATATATATATATATATTTATATATATATATATATATATATATATATATATATATATATATATATATATATATATATATATATATATATATATATATATATATATATATATATTTATATATATATATAAATATATATATATATATATATATATATATATATATATATATATATATATATATATATATATATATATATATATATATATATATATATATATATATATATATATATATATATATATATATATATATATATAAGCCTGGGTCTACTCATAGTCAACAGCGATTATTTTTTACACCATAAGTCGACAAAAAAAATTTTTAGATGTTGTATAGATTAAGTATTTGCATAGAAAAAAAATTTAAGAGATCAATTAAGCGCTTTTTTTAAAAAAAATAGAAAATTTTTAAACTTAGCGATTTTAACACATGCACATATATTTCAACTTGACATCGTAGAAATAGTATAAATTAAGTTTTATACACATATTTTAAAGTTTATTTGTCATTTTTACATATATTTATATTAAAAAAATTTATAAAAACATAGAAATATTAAAATACAAGTCTATATATTTATTATTGTTGACTTGACGCAAAGTTTACGAGTAGAATAAGTCTACTTATAGTTGAAAAATAACATATTATATGTCTAAATGTTAATTTTTTTTTTTTTAACTGGTCGTATATAATTTTAACTAAATAGTTTATCTATATTTTAAACAAAAGTTATAATAAATATATCTTTATATTTTAAACAAAAAATGCAATCTCTTAACTATCGACCTATAGATCGTATATGTAACACAAGTAAACATACGCGCTTTTAAAAAAAGTTATTGTTTATAGTTTTCCGCGTTTTTTTTTTTGTTAATGTTTTTCATAGAAATCTCTTGAGTATAATTTAGACATTACAATGGTATCTTTTTTTTAAATTTCCATTGAACTAATCATTACTAAAATTCATTCAAACGTAAAGTCGACAGGAAATCTGTTGACTTAAGAAAAGTGTTGACTTGACGAAGGTTATAGAGACATAGTTTGTCGACTTTGGGCTGACCTAGTCTTATATAATATATATATATATATATATATATATATATATATATATATATATATATATATATATATATATATATATATATATATATATAAATTTTTAGAATTTGCCATATGAAATTTTTTTTTCCACTTCTAGAAAAATTATTCAAGTTTTAGAAATTTTCTTTTTCAATTTTCGAAATTTTACACTAGATAAAAAACAATTTTTTAAGTTACATTATTAGCAAATTAAGAGCCCTTTAGAATCAAATCCATTAATTAAATCAAAAATTTAAAGTAAATCTTAGCAGTTACATTTGTAACAAAATTACTGACACTTTTTACCTTAAATATAACAGCAACTTAATACAAAAAAGCAAGCAAATATAACAGTATTAAACATGATAATGTCCCTAAGTGTGTTTTTGGCCAACCAAAAACACACTTAGGGACATTATCATGTTTAATACTGTGTCATGTACTTTTATTTTTTTCTTTGAATTTTGTTTTGATTGAAAATGTAAAAATGTTAATAGTTAATAACAAATATATTGTTTATTAAATTTATTATGCTTTAATTTTTTTTAACATTTAGTTATAGTGATTTGTCATATCAGCTTGAAATTTTAAAATTCTTCTTTTTAAGAAAAAGTATGAATGGTTATCCAGATTATCTACAGATTACAATCCACTTTTGATCAAATTCATTACAAAAAAATGGGAATGTTTAAACTCTATAAATGAAAAAATAAATTTTTGTCTTTCATGGCCTCCTTTCAAAGTATTATTAGATCACCTAGGTAAATGTATATTTGTTTTCTTTCTCACTCACTCTGTGTGTGTGTCTATATATATATATATATATATATATATATATATATATATATATATATATATATATATATATATATATATATATATATATATATATATATATATATATATTTATCTACTATAGCATATTTATATGCGCAATTGCTCACTTTATTTGCTAGCCCAAATTAAGTGAGCATTTTTAGATAACGATGAGGGAAAACAAAGAATAATGAATAAAAATGTTGCTGACCCATACCAAACCCTCAGTCGATGTAGCAGCACTCCACGGCGAGTCAGACTATTTGTCAGTCGATGTATGTACTGAAGCCCCCAGCAGCAGGCTATTTGACATTAGGTGAGTATGACATCATCATGCTCACCTAACTCAGCAGTATAAGATATATATATATATATATATATATATATATATATATATATATATATATATATATATAATATATAATATATATATATATATAATATATATATAATTATTTATATATATATATATATAATTATATATATATATATAATTATATATATATGTGTGTGTGTGTGTATTCACTTGTTTGATTTAAATAAGTTTCTAAACACTAATTTTTTAATTTGATTATTCAAAAGTCAGCAAATATGACAGAAGTCAATTTTTACAACCGGACGCCATTTCGGCATCTTAACTTGTTTCTTAAAGTTGGTTCAAGATAATTCTTTTAATTTCATTTCTCATGATATATGAAAATCCTTTTCGCTCGCATTTATACAGGGAATGTTTCTTCTTTTTTCACAATCGGACTATTGCATACTTTTGCGTGGGGTGGTGGATTTACAGAATGTTTTGGAACATTCAACAACGCAATTACACATGAAAAGTTAGATAAATAGTAAAAAATGATTTTGATGAATTTTCTTGAAAATTTTTTTAAGATTTTAAATAAGTGTTCTTTACTCTTCATATTTATTTAATGAGAAAACATTATTTCAAAATGTGTGTTAATTGGTGAACCTTTTATTTTAGTGTATTTTTTTAGAACTAATCTTGTACTTTGAATTAAATGGAAATCAAAGTTCTTCTTACTCGCATTGATTTTTATTATTTTCCAATGTTCCATTAAGGTAATTTAATTAAGGTAAATAAATTTTAAAATTGCAAATTAGTATTCAAAATTAAAATATTAAAAAAAAAAAGAATGAGAAAAATAAGCAAAAAAAAGTGTCCTCCTGGACTATAGTGGCTTACTTAGCCTTGGAAAGGTAAAAGGTAAATATAAAAAAAACTAATAAATAACATTTTCAAAAATCAAATTTTTCTTTTATCTGTAATGCTTTTTTTTTTTTTTTTTTTTTTTTTTTTTCTTTGAGTTATGATTATATATATTTTTTTGTTTTTCAGGAAAAAAATCTATAGAGGAAACAAAACTTTTAATCCATGAAGTCAAATCAGTTTTTTATCATATTTTTGAAATTGTTAATAATGGCGAAATTACAATAGATTTCTTAATTAACCTAAAGAACAAAGAAGAAGTCTTATTTGGTCTTATGGAAGTATTGAAAGTAGATTTTTTTAATGATTTTAAAGTAAGATATGAGTTACGATTGAAGGAATTATATTATTTCAATAAAGGTATAGAGGTTGTGAACTACACTCATCAACTTTGCAAAGTGTTACTTCCAAGCACTGGTAAGTTTTACTCTTGTTTAAGGTTCACATGCTAAATGTACACACACATCAATTATCTTTTGATAGCATTTCTTCTAATTTAAAAATACTTTATATTTCACCAATATGTCAAGGCATTTACTAGCGATTTAGTGATAAGGACAAATAGAAACAGGTTGTGTACCACTTGCACCTGTTTCTGTTCTAAATTACTATTCCAATTTGATTTTATTACTATTTTTGATGAGAAAAAAATCAAATATTTTTAATAAAATATACTTTTTGAGAAAATAAAAAATTACTTTAAAACTTTTATTATAGGTCATGGTGACGGAGCCAAGGGGGTCATATTGCCCCTCTCTCAGACTTTTTCTTTATTTTTTTCTTCATTTTTTTAGCTAAGTAGGTTTTTGTAGTACATTATTTATTAAATTAGGCTTTTTGATGCTTCATGGCCGCCGGCCTTCCTTCCTCCTAAAATGTTACACCATTAAATTATCCTATATTTAGGATATTCATATCTGGACTGTTTGACTATAAATTAAATGAATATCAAACTCATCCTGAAACATGTTCACCATAATTACTAAATCATCAATGACATTTGCATTTGCATTGTCCTGTTGTATAAAAATAGTTTGACTACTTTCAATATGATTTTCTGGCCATTTTAAATTTATGGCTGGTAAAACATTATTTAAAAGTATGTTGTGTTGAACATATTTACAAACTGAATTGTATCATTGCAAAAAATTGTAACTGAGAAAAAATAAATTCAATGTGATGCTTCCTATTTTGATCTGTTAAAAAAGGTTTCACAGCTGGCGTGCACACTCTCAGATCACTAGTCTTAAGTTGATAATAAAGGATTGTTGTTGGAATAAACAAAGATCCTGCCAATAAATGGTTTTTATGCTTGTTCAAAGAGATTTTACTGATTCTTCCTTTAAATTGATGATTTTTCTTTTTTTGTACACATCTTCCCTTCTTTTTGAAGCACACACTTGATGACCTACTCTCTTGTCCATAATGCCAAAGGTTACTTATTGTTTAGTGCAAAGGCTAAATTTTTCAGCAGTATTTTTAATTGAACCTTTTTTTTAGTTTTCCATAAATGCTTTGGGATAACAACTCAATGTAAATCACTCTACGTTGCTCATTTGTAAGTTCACGTGTATCTCTTTTATTCATTTTTGCAAAAACTTAGTTGCAAATTTTTAAGGTTACATAATTAATGTTAGCTGTTTCTAAATTTAAAATATATTGTTACTGCAATAGAAAATTAAAAAAAAGCGCCACAAGTTAAACACCTGACTTGATTTGTTACAGAATTAAAAACAGTAAAGTCATCTATTGAGCATAAAGTATTTAAACTAAATGGTTTTAACCAAAATTAAATTTTTTATTACTAATTAAGAATTTAGCTGTTACTTATATTACTCAGTGTACTTGAGGTGATTTTAAAATATTATAGTGTCTGTATGATACTTTATTGACTACGACATGTTTCTGTTAAATGGTCAGGTCTGTGAACTATGAAAAGACGAAAAAAATTAAAATGATTAATTCTGCGGTATTGTAGAATATAAATGTTTATAGCAAAAAAAAACCAGGCCAATGATTTTTTTTTTAAAAAACAAAATCTTCTTAAAATCACCACTTGTTCAAATTTTAATAAGATTTTAAATAAATACGTTTTTTAGGTAAAATGAACATCATAGTTTAATAATATGATCTGTTCTGATCGTTTATTAGCAGTTTTTCATAATTATAAGCTATTTCCTGGTCGGAATTCTAGTATTTTTTTTGTAAAAATTTATAGAAATATTGTATTTTGATAACTGTATATAGTTAATATATATTAGAACCGATTAGAACTCTAGGGTCTATAGTAAATTAAGGCACTTTTTCAAAAAAAATTTACAACTAAATTTATGTTAACGCTGATGAGCGAAAGTGATCTAAAGACTACAAAATGATGTTCTTTAGATTCATTATTTAGGGTAGTAAAAAGATGTTGAAAGTTAAATAAAAAAAAAATTTTATATAAAAAAACTTTAAATACCTAATAAACCTGAAGAAAAAAAGTTATACTATCTAAAGCTCTTGTTTGGACATAATATGCTGATAAAACCATGCTAATTCCAAATAAAAGAATTCAAATAATTAGTAAATTGCCTTACCTACACAGAGTAGTTAAGAACTTTTAAAAAGCTGTTACTATTTCTTTTTTCCACTAAAAATAGTTAAATGTTATTAAATTTTTAACAACCCAATTGTGTTGGAGCCTGTGCACCAAGAACAATGAGTCTAACAGTCAAGGAAATTATTATTGATCTTTTCAAGTTTATGAGTGATAATGGTTTTAGTTTGAAGAGAAGTGACATTTTAACTGTTGTTGTAAACTATCTGTATGAATCAGAAAAAACTCACTTGACATTGTTGACATTGCTTAAAAATCAATGTTACCAAAATAAATTTAAGTTAGTTGTTATTGAAAGCCAAATAAATTTCCAGTTCGTTTAAAAAAAACTATTTCAAAAGCATGATTTGTTCTAGTGAATCCATTTTTTTGTAAAAAACTGAATTCCGGATTTTCGGAATTACAGGAGATGAAATCCCGAATTCCGGTTTAATTCCGGAATTATTATAGAAGAATTTAAAAAATATAAAGAAAAGAAAGTACATTATTTTTTAACATAAATGTATTTAGTTCAAGACAATAAAATTAAAACAAATTACAAAATAAGGAAATATTTCATATTAAAATATTTTTGAACTACATAAATAAAATTGCAAAATGAAAGTTCAATTTTCATTTTGATTTTTGAAAAAGCTTCTTAAAAAGCACAAAGTATCCAATGTTTTGTCGTTGAGCCTTGATCAAATTTTTGCTGAAAATGCTACTGCAGCGGAAAAAGCGCGCTCTGACTCCACACTAGTTGGTGGAATTGTTAATAAACTTTTGTAAAGATCTTCCAAAAGCGGTCCGCGGGATCCCCCTTCATCCCAAAATTTCATTTCACTGCAAATTTCGGAATGAATTGATGATTTTTGTAGAACTTTTGACCGTGATTCCGAGAGTGATTCCTTTATCTTTTGCTGAAGAATTTCCTGCAAGGATAACTGAGTTTCCAATGATTCGATAGGTTTATCGTCATCCATTTCATCATAGACTCAGATACTGTCGGGTCTATTTCTAATGCTACTTCACCACTAAGTCTTTAAATTAGGGATATGATAATTTTGTTAATTTCAGTTTTTGAGCGACGCAAAATGTTCTTGTGAATTTTGGTTTTACCCCCATTATGCAAATATTGAAGAACATCAGATACCACAGTTCTTCTTCGATTAATTTGAACTTCAAACTCTTTTTTCATTTCATGGCTAATTTCTTCATTCTCATCAAAATTTTCTAACTCAAACGTAAATGTTGCATCCGCAGAAAGTAAATTTGCATCAGCACGGCATAACGCGTCTACGGCTAATTTTATAGGCTTCAAATTTCTAGAAACTGTAGATATTATATTCCATTCTGAATCATTCAAAAATGTATCTGCTTTGATATTAATTATTGCCTTTTTTATGGAACTTTTCAAAAGATTAAAACGTTCTAACATGGACATCAGGCTACTCCATCTAGTCTTCGAATCAAGCAATAGCTGCAATTCCTTTCCATGATCTTCCTTCACATGTTTTTGCAACACTTCATTTTTTAAAGGGGAATGTCGAAACATTCGAACAATTACCCGAACTTTCATGATTACATTTCGCAATGTAAACTTTTCAGTAATTTCTACATCACATTCATTTCTCGTCCCCACTTGCATCATCACTTAAATCTTCTTTATCAGAGTCCAGATCTAGGACACTCTCATAATCATCTTCATCTAACTCTTTCTCTGTTTGTTTGTAGATCACATTTACAATTGCAATCTGAATTGCATGAGCAAAACACAAAATTTATTCACATGGTAATAATCTACCCACTTTTTGCATCATAGAAGCACCATCAGTTACAATACACGAAATATCGTTCCTTATATTTAACTGAAATGATTCTAACTTGTTCTCTAACAATTTTACACAATTTTCAGCCGCAAATCGACCATTAATTCGAGAAAGACCCAAATTCCAGATATTTTTCGACCCATGAACGTTAACATTCATATAACGTCTATTTCGAGAGGACGTCCACTCGTCCAATGTTAGACTAAAGCATAAATTCTTTTTTAATTGATTAATTTCCGCAATTTGCAATTGTTTAATTTTTTTAGTATAATCCATCACGACTTTCTGTATGCTGGTGGGTGATTTTGGAATATCACCGAATCCACGCATTGTTAAACATTTTCTTAAATTGTTTGACGTACAAAAAACACGAAACAGTAAACCATCAGAAGCAATCATTCTAGCTACTACGTCAGGAAAAGTTTCATCTTTTTTTGACTTGAAAAAATCAATGATCGTGTTCGTTTTTCTGGTTGTGCTCACAACACTATCGTTACTGTCAGATGTAGAAGCTGTTGTATTTTCATCAAACTTTTGCTTGTTCAAAACTGTGTTGTGTTTAGAACAAAGATGTGTGTGCATGGGAGTTGTACATCCACCTAATATCTTTAAAACTTGCTTGCATTGCATGCATTTCGCCACCTGATTTGTTTTCCCTCGTAGAAAATATTTCTACACTGAATTTGATGAGCTTTCTTTTGAAATGTCCATAAAAGTTTCTTCAGATTTATCTACCATACTTGGGTTGGGATTTAAAACAATAACAATGTAAGTCTACAAAATTTTTGAAACATAAAATTAATATAATGACTTACTTTGTCTGCTCTGCATACAATTTAATTTCTTAATGTTAATATTTCATTAAAAAAAAAAATTTAATGCATTTGCAGTAGCCTAAGCCTGCTAAAATTTAAATTTTTTGAATTTATAACAATGAAAGTACACAATGCTGCCATCTATAGTAAAAGTTCTTCTAAATTCGAAATTCTAAAAATTTCAAAAAAAAACTT